CATGACTTACTTCATTGTAAAACGGGCTGTTGGTTCCTTCCTTCACTGTCGTTTGCTTCTTGTCATCCCCGACCTCAATGATCACCACTGGGTCGATGTTCTCGCCCACCAGCTGGCGGGCCTCCGTGATGGTGATGGCAATCTGGAACACAGATGACAGAACACAGGTCTTTGCTCTCCCAGAAGTCAGGGCTCATTCACACAAGAGCAAGGGGAGACAGAGTGGGGTACTTACTTGATAAGTCTGAGACTTGACCTCCCCGTCATGGATCTTCGTCACCAGTTTTGACCTGTTAACAGAAAGTCTAATATATTTACTTCATCAAGGAAGCAAATACTTTTGATCCCTATGCGTTTGGTGTTGGGTGCCCTCAAGTGGAACTTCCCTATAGAGTTTTCTTGCTTCTAATCTTTATGGGTGCAGATCACCCCATCTTTCTCCTGTGAATCCACTGGGTGGGTTCAAACAACCCTTTTGGCTTAGCAGCTGAGTACTTAACCACTGTGCCCCCGGGACTCCTTTGGACCCATACACAATGGTAATAGTTTCCCAAACATTCCCAACGACTCTCATTGTTATCATATCATATATTTTCTCTACATCTCTGAGGGACGTGCAAGTGGACCAGTGACTAAACTTCTCGATGCCTCATTTTCCCCATCCCAAAAGTGAACCTAATAATAGCACCTACCAGATTGAATGATTGTTAGAAATTAAATAACAACGTGCATGTAGAACAGTGGTTCTCAACCTTCCTAATGGTGCAAACCTTTAATACAGTTCCTCATGTTGTGGTGACCTCCCCAAACCATAAAATTATTCTCATTTCTACTTCATAACTCCAATTTTCCTACTGTTATGAATTGGATGACCCCTATGAAAGGGTTGTTCAACCCCCAAAGGGGTCACGACCCACAGGTTGAGAGCCACTGATGTAGAGGTTAATACCGCAGCGCCTGGAGATCATAAATGTGAACGCGTTTTATAAATGGTACTCATTTTTCATTTAATGGATGGAGAAACAGAGATGCCTCAGCAAATCAGTGGCAGAGCTGGGTCTAAAGAAGGACCTCCTGGTCTCCTATCTGACCTTCTCCACATGACCACTGTGCCATTTCCAGTAGAGAGAACAGTTGTGCTTCATAATTGCTTTTGAAAGAATTGACTAAGGAGAAAATTGGACGGAATGACCAAGATGCCATCTCAGTGAGGTTTCACATTCTAGGGGATTTCATTTATCTGGACTGTCACAGGTAATTGAAAACAGATGTGCAAAGCCCGGGCATTTCGAAACTGCATAATCACATACAGCGATGAAGAATCCCTGCTGTCACAGAGTAGCAATGAGTGGAAATGAGCTGAGCTTTCGTTCCTATTGCATTTTGTTCTCTTGGCTTGGAGCAAGCAAGACCAGCTCGCATTTGACTTCATTTCATTTCTACTGATTACAGTAGAGTCTAGTAGAGAATAAACTAGTAAACATCTAAAGGCTTTGGAGTCAGACTGATCTGAATGAGGGCATTTGTTCCCCTAAGTTGTATGACTTTGGGAAAATTTTTCAGCCTTGTTTGTGAATGTGGAACTAATAATTTCTACTTTCGTAGGGTGGTGCTGAAGATTAAAGGAAGTTGTGCATGTAAGATAAGGTAGGTATCATTGAATATATTCATCCATAAAATGGCAAATCTCTACTGGTTATTTAGAATGGAAAGCTTTGTTCTTGGCATGGCGAGGGGCAAGACAAAGATTTCTAAGACAGGGTCTTGACTCTTGAAAACTGACTAGCTAGAGGAGGGAGGACCAAAATAGAAAGAAAGAAAGAAAGAGTGAACTAGTCTATACGTTGATGAGTAAGGCATGCAATAGGAAACATGTGATAGATGCTCAAAGGAGGGAGCCATTCCTGAGGGTCCTTGTAACCAACAAAGACCTCATTGCAGAGGCTGGCTTTGAACTGAGCATTGGTGGGTGGGTGGAATCTCAACTGGTGAATGGACCAGCCAAGGAGACAGAAGAAGGCTGCCCTTCCTGACTTCTCTTTCCCTTGCCTTCCTCCACTTGAGGCTATTATCCTGGTGAAACTCATTACAAGGAGTACGTTGAGGGATATTAACTCCTTGGTCAGGGCTGGGTAGAAATGTGGATAGTCTAGTGAGTTACATGGCATGGGCAGCTTATTGCAAGGCCAGCAGTTTGGATCTACTGCTAGCTCCAAGGGAGAAAGATGAGGTTTTCTGCTCCCGTGAAGATTTATAGCCTCAGAAACCTTAAGAGGTCATTCTGGTCTCTGCCTATAAATTGACATTGGTTCAAAGGCAGTGGTTTATTTGTTTTTTGTTATTGTTGTTTGGTCAAAGACCCTAGGGAAAGCGTGGTCATCTCATGTTTTCTCTGAACTATTACCTTCTCTATCTTCCATCTGTTTCTCACTTCCCTCCGCCTTATACACACAAACACTGCCAACATGTCACAGCCCAGAAACAACAACTCAGGATTGGTCACACAGGCAAGTATGAATGTACTGTGCTGACAGCAATGCCTGAGAGATTGTCATGAGTTAGAAATTGATATCAACAAATGTGCTAGATTGATAATGTCGAAAGTCCTAATTATTGGCCTCTCTGGACCACGTTTTTTGCCCTGTCACTTTGTCATGCCCTGCCACTCTGATGTGGGCTGATCTTGTGACTTGTGTTGGACAATAGAAAGCAGCAAAATGACTTCTGCCAGTTTGGGTACAAGCTTGGGCTAGTCTGCTGGAGGATCTCAGGTGAGGAGATTTCAGTGGTTCTCCACTGAAGCAACTTTCAACGACAACCAACAGACCTCAAGCTAAAATCAGCAGAGCTTCCAACCTGACCCGTAGCTGACACATGAATGATGAGTCTGCAATTATCTGGAGCCAGTAAAGTGATCCAAGTGACACACAGGTTCGTGAAAAATATCACATATTCCCTATCTTATATTAATCCGCTGATTTGGGGGTGGTGGTGGTATTTGTTACACATCCACAACTCACTGATATAGCAGCTTGCATGCAGTAGGCCAGCTTGCTTTGATCTCTTATTGGACGGTATAGATACCAACCTCTTCTTTGAGACAAACACAAAGTTATGCTATTTAGCACTTTGATAAGATGTTTTAGAGAGCAGTAGAGTGGCAGCTGTTGAATCTATGTCCTACGGCTGCTGCTTATGAAAGACTTAAGACCAGAAATAATAACGATAGGACCCTGATCTATTGAAGACTGCCTAGTACCAACAGTCCAACACAGCACTAACAAAAGACAGTCTGCCTGCCCTACACCTTCGATGCTATACCTCTTATTCTCTTCTCTTCTCCCCAAGCTTGAGGAGTATCTGACACATAGAAGGAGCTCAATAAATGCTGGTTGACCACCGGCATTCACATTGTACCTTCTCTTCACGGGCACTGGGGGGACAGGAGTGGTAGAATCATCATTAGAGGTCAAATCTCCTCCCGGTCCTTCCTGGCCAGAAGGACCCTCCTGGGGCACTTCTGTTTCACCTTGACTGTCTAGAAAAGCAAACAAAGAAAGAAAACCCTGTTAAATTTGGAAAACAGACAAGCTGAGCCCCCACTGTGTACTCAGCACCATGTGCAAGAGCGTGTAAGATAGCCGCTATCTGCACGGAAAAACAGCATCTTATTGAAAAGAAAGCCAGCTCCATATCTCAATTTCCTAAACGGTAATGCTGCTTCTGTCTGTTTGCAAAAGGGGACGGGGCAGGTTTAAATGCATAGTGTTGTGGAAAGAAATGTGGGCTCTGAGATTAAGGACGTGCTTTCAAGTCATGACCCTGCCATTTCTGAGAAATAGGACTTTAGACAAATGAGTTGTTTTCTCTGGGCCTCCCAGGTGACACATGGCTGCTGGACCAATGGCCCTTTCTGAGCAACCAGGGGCAGAGAAAGCGTCAATAGACCACCAGCATCCTTCAGCTGCTTCCATCACCAGGAAGTCTGATGTGATCCACCTTGGATGCTGTCTGGATGCAAAGATTTCGTGTTTGTTTTGTTTTTTAATCTCCAGAAGATTCTGAGCTAACACACAGCAAAGCTTGAGCCCCGTGCTGCAGCCTCTCCTGGAACAGAGCGCAGATGAGGAACACACGAGTTCTGCAGGTGGCTGGAGGGGTTGCTGCTTCACAAGGCTGAGGACACAGAGACCTGCCATCATATACCCCAAATCTAGCACCAAGTTTGACACTTAACAGGTATCCCATTCCTATGTGTTGGATAAATGACTGATCACAGAAGGTGCCCAGAAACAATTCATTGGGTAACTATTTAATGTAGGGGTGGGAAACCCACAGGCCACACGAGACTAGAGAAATCATCAATAGCAGCTAACTCATATCACGCACCTCACCAAAGAGGAGCAGTTCCAGCTATTCCATGGGAGTGAGCTAGTTAAATGTTGGCCCAAACAGAACAGGCTAATTTTTAAATTGATAATTTTGTATAGCCCACAAATGAGGTTAGAATGATTCAAATGACCCTTGGCAGAAAACAAAGGTTCTCCACTGTGATAGTTACATAATCTGTTGTCAATTTGGGACTTGAGTGAAGGGGTGGAGGTTAGCCTGTCAATCAGGTGGCAGCTTGATGACCTCATTTGGAGGCACTAAGGAGATAAATAGCTCCCTGGAGGTGGAACACACTCACTCTCTGAGACATTCCTGCTGAGAAGACACATGGAGCTACGCTAGAGCCCTGGAGCTGAAGGAACTACATGGAGACCCCTGCTAGCACTATTTTTTCACTACCACTGGATCCACAAGACTTTCCATCCACTGGCCTGTGATCTTCCTGCATTCAGCATCATTGCACGTGTTTCGTGAGTCTGAAGAGGACTGGTATCAGACATATGAGCTAATATCGGACTTATGGACTTGACCTAGACTGGGCTGGGATGTTTTCTCAATATACAATTGCTCTTTTATCTAAAACTCTCTCTTATACACATATGAGTGTCTATGAATTTGTTTCTCTAGTCATCCCAGACGAACACACCCACTCCTGATTTAATGGATGGGTTGAGAGTAATTGGGATGTTTATTAAAGCATAGCTACCATTCCTCAAAAGACACAGATAAAAGAGACAGAGATGCTGACTCTCCTAACATTTCACCCAGAAAGGCCCCCAACTTCCCGCAGAAGCTAAGAAGGAAAGAACAAGTTCTGTGGACTTTGTTTTGTCAGTCTCCAACAGGGTGGCGGCCCAGCAGGAGCCAGGCTATTGACTTTCTAGGAGGGCCCTGACCCCTCCTGCCCTGTTTGCTTTGTGGGCTGAAGGTTCTAATTAGAATGAACCACAGGAGGCAGCTTCTTCACAAGGGCTCCCTGCTCCTCTGTAAACGCCTGTGGTTGACTGCCCTACACCTTAGCCGGCTGCCTCTCTCCTTCCCTGCCTGGTCAGTAATGGGTCCTGTGGGGGAGGACGCCCTGGCCATCATCCGAAAGGACAGACTTTGGTAGAAGACTGACAGGGCTCAGGAACCAGCTTCCCCATGTATTGGCTGTGAGGTTTTGGAAAAAACACCCCCACCCTCTCTCTGAGCCTCGGTTGTAAAGAGAGGGCATTTCAGAAACCTCCTACTGTATGCCACACACAGCAGGGTCACGTTAAATGTGTCATAAACAGCGCTGCTTTTCATAACATCCTTGAAGGAAGGGACTGTGTCTTGGTCAAGCCTCAGTGCCCAGGGCCAACTGCAGTGGTGAAATTGCCAGGACACCAGAAAAGACCCCCAAATTTTTCCACCCACCCAGTGAAGCCTCCCAGTGGGTAGAAGCACTAGACAGTGACTTCCATTTAACTTGAAGCTTTGTCTTCACTTCTCCCTGTCCCAGCCCAAAGCGGTTCTTGATCATTATTAGTTAGTAGCACCATAGCATGAATCCATTTCTATGGGTCCTACTGTAAAGAGAGGTTTTTTTTCCCCTGAGGGCACTGGGTGGGCCTAAGGCCACAGGCCACTAGCTCTGGGGAGCAGTAAAGGCCACCCACAAGGAGACAAGAGAGGTGAAGAGGAACCAGACCACGCCACTATTTTGATTTAGCTCATAGGTGCCCACACTTATTGGGCCTACTGCCTTCTTTTGGGGGAAAAAAAATATCATTCAGCACCCCCTTGGCAATTACTAATTATTGTACTCACAGCCCCGTAATCCAGGAGAAAGTGTAGGTATTGCTCTTGCAGCCCCCTCCCATCATCCCCGTGCCCCCACCCCCCATGAGTCCTATTCCCCACTTTGGGACACGCTGGTTTAGGAAAGACCTAGAAAGGTAGGGCCGACTACAGAAGTCCTCAGAGGACCTAGTGGAAACAACTGATCCTATGTGATTCAACAAACATGAAATGTTTATGCCAAACCGGAGCCCTGATGGCACAGTGGTGATGTACTGGGTTGCTAACCTCAAGGTCAGACGTTCAAAACCACCAGCTGCTCCATGGGCAAAAGATGGGACTTTCTACTTCCGTAAAGAGTGATAGTCTTAGAAACTCACCGGGGCAGTTCTACCCTGGCCTGTAGGGTCATGGTGAGTCAGCGTCAACTCAAGGCCACTGCGTTTGGTCTTGTTTGGTCTAGGCTAAGGAAGGCATGGGAGCATTACAACGGTTAGCATGCTCAGTGGCTAGCTGAAAGTCTGGCAGTTCAAGTCCACCCAGAGAGCCTCAGAAAAACAGGCCTGATCATTTACTTCCAAAAGTTCAGGCATTAAAGACCCTGGAGAACACAGGCCTATCCCAGCACACGTGAGACTGCCCTGTGTTGGTGTTTACTTAAAAGCAACTGCCTACTGGGCTTGGCCTCTGCTGACAGAGTTCACACACCACACGGGCCTTCATCAGAAAGTCAGAGAGCCTGGCTCGGCCTGTGGACTCCACTGACTTGGTGCCTCCCTAGCTCGAGGCCAGCTTCGTGAGATGAGCCTACACAGCAGCACAGGATACACCCACACGACCCAACACCTGGCTTAGTGCTCTGCTGCCGCCATCGTTAAATTCTTACTGAAGCCTCAACAAGGAACTCTGGGTCCATTTCTCAGGGTGCCCTGCAATTTAGACAGCCGCTCCTTTCCAATCCTCTCACTGCCGCTTCACCAAGGCCCCTTGACTGCCTCACCCACTACTGCCCCACACTGATCCCCCTTTGGACCCTATGACCTAGTTACTGTACCTACCCCTGTGACTGGCCCAATGCCAGGGAGCCAGCCGGCAGCATGCTTCCTGCCTGCCTCTGTGGGGAGTGGAGAGAGGGCTGCAGACTCAGCCAAGGATGGGTCCCTCTACACAGCCCTCAAATTCCAATGTAGTCAGTTCCCTCCCAGAAAACCTCACCTTGCGCTGCCTTGTTGGCTAAGATTAAGCCCTTGTCTGCTTTCTTCTTCTTCTTCTTCAGCTTTAGCCCAAACATCCCCTTTCTGAAAAGAAGAAGGACAGTGGCATGACGCAGCAATAGTCACAGGAAGTCATTCCATCACGTTTTTGCCAGTGGCTGTGAAGTGTATTCCGACGCCTGGCCATCCCCAGTGTTTCAGAGTAGAACTGTGCCCCATAGGGAGAAAGCAAGCAGCTACCAAGGGCTCTCCTACTAGTGAACTTGCCTCCCCATCCACCCGGAATCAGAGTCGAAAGACAAGCTGGACCCCAGTGGATGCTATTACTGAAACCAGGACGACCCAACCCAACTGGAGCAGAAACCACGAGGGCCACCTGGAACCTCAGGTAAATGAGACACAATGCAGATACCAGTGGCAGTAGCTGGTGTTTCTTGTCACTGGCTCTGTGCCAGGCACATCATTTAGTCATCACCCCCGCACTGCCATCAACTTGATTCAGACTCACAGCGACCCTACAGGACAGAGGAAAACTGCCCCTGTGGGCTTCTGAGAATGTAAATCTTTCTGGGAGCAAAATGTCCCATCTTAATCATCACAGCAAAGCTGTAATATTCTAGAACCCGTACAGTTGAGGCAGTGAGGAACCGAGACTCAGAGAGGTAGGCAATGCTTCTGAGGCTGCATAGCTCCTGAGCGCAGCGTTATCAACAGAATCCAGACCTATCTGACTTCAGAGCCCAGGCTCTAACCGCTGGGCAGCTCCGAGCCTCTCAGTTCCTCTGAGCAGAGGGAATCCTCCCACCAGAGCTGGACTTAACAAGGTCACATCACGAATGTCCAACTCAGCTGACATGGGGTTCGTACCCCAAACGCCAGCTGCTGTGATGGCTATTATTGTCCAGGAGAAGGAAGCCGTTCTGAGCTTCCCAGGAAATGGGCCCTGTGCTAATGTGTCTAACAGACAGCACAGCCATCTCCCAGGTCGCCACCTGCCTCCTGAGAGAATCCCTTTCTGGGGCTGAGGGACAGCAGAGCTCCTGGTCTCTGTGGAAGGAGAGATGGACACTGTTCAGAAGCTGCTGATGGCAATCTCATGGAGGCAGGAGGGATAAGGAAGCGTGTGTTTGGAGAAGAAGGGAGGAAAAAACAGGGAAGGTTCAAAGCCTACTCAAGTGAACGCCGTGCAGTCCTGAGGCAGCGCATGAAAAGTAGCAGAACAATCCAAGGTTTCTCCACTGCACACATGTTTAGGACACGCATGAGATGGCTAAATATGATCAACAGTCACACGATTAGATGCTAATCCCAGTATCGTCTCTGTGCCTATCACGGGTCACCTAACCTCGCTGAACGTCAGGTCATGGGTAATGGGGATGACGGTGCTAGACGCTTGCTGGGAAGATGAATTGGAATAATAAGTGTAAAGCAATTAGCACAGTACCTGGCACATGGTAATTGCTCAAAAATGTTGGTTGATTATTGTTCTGAGGGATAGGATTAGGACCAAGGAATGGAATCTATTAGACAAATGTTCTATCTGTTGGTTCTGTTTAAGTATTGCCTGGATCCAGATGAGGACTTCTAGGGCATGGTGCTGTCTAAATGGTGGAACGGGCTGTGTTAGTTCCTTGTTCCTGGAAATGTACCAGCAGAACCCTGAGGACCACTGACAAAGGCTGTAGAGATGACAAGTCTCAGAGGGAGGGCTCATGGATCCCTTGAGCCCCCAAGATACACTAGACTAGATACAAAGACCACCTAGACACAAAGAACAACTCCGGGAGCACCGGACATGGTGGGATTCCTAACTTCCGGGACAAGTCACAGCCTCTCCGAGCTGATTCCTCATGTGCAGAATGGAGGTCGTGATCCAATACCTGCTGTGCGGGATGCTGGTGAGAATGAGATCACGTGAGTGAAGCACCGAGGACAATGCCTATTATACACAAAGGGCTGGATGGGTATCAGAGACCTTCTGGGACTGGCATGTACTCCCCCTTTGATTTGCCACCATCCTCTCTGAGGATAACAACATCCTCAAGTCTCCTGGGAAGTGCTGAAGAACAGACACAAGGGGGAATTCTGGTTTTCTGAAACCACTAAAACCTAACTTCCAACAGTGGTTCTTGTTATTCTGCTGTTAAAGGGTCATTCCCCAAAAACAAGAGCCAAGGGAGCAAAGGCCAGTGCCTTCCAAACCCCGAGTGGCATGTGGTCCCCAGGACTTGCTGCCATGATCATTTCAGAGGCAGAACCCTATCTACGTCCCTGGAAGTTGGCCAATGGCCTCTGTGGATGCCTCAGCGACGGTTTGAAAAGGTTGAGTTACTTCTGTCCACAAACTGAAAGTGGCGAAGGATGACGGTACCTACCAGCAGGAGATGTAACCGTCCTTTAGAGGCAGCCATCCTCTCTGTGGCTGGCTTCCTGGAGGGAAGCCAGTGATGGAGGCTGGCCCAATGCTACTGCCTTGGACAGAGGAAGAGAGATGGGAGACGAGGAGGGGGAGGGGAGAGGGAGAGGAAGCCCACTTCTTAGAGACAAATATCCTTGCCCTCTGCAAAAGAGAGCTCTTGACTCCAGCCTGCTCATTAGAGCCATCTAAGAAAGCTTGAAGAATAGATATCCAGACCTCACTTCAAAGGCTGATTTGACTGGTCAGGGGCACTGCTCAGACCCTCCCCTCCTACAGAGTAAGCCGAAGAAACCCCTTCCAGTAATGCCGGAAGGAGTAGAAGCAGCCTGACCCCTTTGGGTGGGTGGGTGTTTGTTTCACAAACACACAAGATTGTTTGCCTGAAACCGTGAGTCAGCCATCAAAGGCACTCCCAGCAGGGCTTCCGCACTGGCAGCCTCTGGAGGAGACCGTCCTCCCCCGCAGCCCTGTGCCCTCCAGCACCAGACCGGAGGCTCTGCTCACCGGCCCAGCAGACTGCCGCATTGGGACCCACCACACCCAGCTCGCTGGGGCTGCTTGAATCCATTTACAAGACCCCCACTCTGGAGCTGGACATGATGCAAGGCTCAGAGACGCTCCCAATTCAAGGAAAGAGTGTCCCAAACCCGAGACCAGGCTTGGAAAGGGGATAACCTGCTGTTCCGCAGATCCCTACCATGTTGAGGACAAGGATATGCGCTGCAGTGTTCCCCGGAGGGAGTTGAACTTCTTTTGACAACATATTGTGCACTCATGATGTGCCAGGAGCACCACTTTCGCCTCATTCTCACCTAGTACAGCGACATCAGGCCACAAGGCAGCTGCTCACCGCTACCCTCGTCTAACAAGTAAGACTGTCAGCCGTTTCCAGGCAGCAGGTTGCAATCGAGCAGTAAATCAAGCAATTCATTGTGTGGATGAGCATCCAAGACACCACCGCCACCCTCCTTGCTGATTTTCTGAGCATTCCAGGGGTGGGAGGGAGCGGGGGCGGGACTCTACAACAAAAGGATGGGGAACTCCGAGTTAGGATCAATTGAATCACCTCCAGAAGACACCCCAGGATTAGTCAAGACACTTGGGAACGCCCACACCTACCTGCTCTCCTCGGGTTGGAAGCTACCATGAGTCCGATATCTGTATCCAAACAATAAGAACAGTAAGGGTGGCAGAGGTTAGCGCTGCTCCGACTCATCTTTCTCGGTGGTGCTGCTCCAGGTTGGAAAGCACGGAGCCTGGAGCACCAGCAAGGCAGCCAGCTGAGGAGGAGCCACCAGGCCAAGCAGCCAGAGGGAGAGGAGCTGGACACCTGGGGCCTGGGTCTCATCTATGCGGCTTTCTAACTATGTCACTGGCTCTGAGCTTCAGGTCCTCTTCCTGGGTCATAAAGACTTACTGGGTTTCCTTCGCTGGGGTCTTAGAGGAGAAGGCTTCCAAAAGCTTGTGAGGAAACTCCATCATCTTTTCAGTCCATCTTTCCCACCAGCCTTTTGAAGCCCCCATCGCATATATAGCGTTATCATTCTTAACTGTTAGGAACTCTTCATGGCTCCTGGTCACCATGTGGTTTTCCACTTGTGTCTCTAGATTTTCTCTCTGGAACCACCTGTTCTCTATTCAGTGTGGAACAGAAGCAGCCCAGGCCAACCAACCAACCGGTGAGATAATTGTGTCAACGGTGTGATGCTTCCCTCCTCCCCAGAGGAGCCCTGGTGGCGTAGTGGTTATGCATTGGACTGCTAACTGCAAGGCCAGCAGTTCAGAACCACTAGTCACTCTGAGGGAGAAAAAGACAGGGCTCTCTACTCTTGTAAAGAGTTATAGACTGAGAAATTCACAGAGGTGGTTCTACCTTGTCCTATGCGGCCGAGATGGCATTGAGTTTTGAGTTTTCTCTCGTTCCACCTCAGAGTGCTCAGAGCACAGCTTACCTGGGCACCTTACCTTCCAAACCCGAACTCGAACACCCAGTATGGGGGGACTTTGCATCATGTATGCATGTTTATCATACCTCTCACAAATTACTAATAATTAAGTTATGCTTAGTGAAATGACCTAAGCCCACTATTGGTGAGTCAATTCTGACTCACAGAGACCATGTAGGCTAGAGTACAACTATCCTTTGGGTGTTTAAGACTGCAAATCTCTATGGGGGCAGAAATCCTCATTCCCCCTCAGAGCCGCTGGTGAGTTCAAGCTGCTGATCTTGTGCTTGGAAGCTACCAGGGACTTACATGGAATTTTAAAAACCATAAAAATTACCCACAAATTTATTGAAGCCCCCTCATATAGCTAATACAATTTCCCCCATTTGCATGTAATTGGGTCTACCCCCTATCCGCCCCCCCTCCTCCCGCAACTTCAAACAGGGTAGTTGGCTATCCAGGTGACTATGTTCTCCCAAATATTTAGAAATGAAGTCCTGGCCCCTACTTCATACCGTATCCAAAATTCAATCTCAGATGGATTACATTTAAATATTAAAGGCAGAACCATGAAGCTTTTGGAAGAAACGGTAGGGTAAACTCATAACATCGAGGTAGGTAGAATGATCTCAAATGTATTAACAAACATGAAAAAGGTAAAGTGACATTGTTGATCAAAAGATATCATAAAGAGAATGAAAATGGAAGCCAC